GCTGTCAGTATTGCGGTTATTTGGTGTGTGACATGATTTGTTATCTTCTTTGTTGAACATATCCAATCCAACACAATATGACTGTCAGTTGCTACTTTAATGAATCTCAATTTGTTCTGAGCAGTTTTCATCAGAAAATTTGTTATGAGTGTAATAGCTAATCTTACGGCTATTAATTCAAGTTTCGGGATTGTTAATCGTCTCTTCGGTGCTAGTTTAACTTTTCCGGTTAATAAATTACTCACTTCGCCCTCGCTTTGCAAGTAAGCACATACAGCTGTTGCTAGCTGGCTCGCGTCAGCAAAAACCCATAAAATTGTTGTTTTTGATATAGGGACCAATCTTTTTATATTTATTTTGATAGGATTTATCGTTTCTACTATCTCATTCCAATTCTGTTTTATTTCCTTATTTAATTTTTCGTCCCAACCGGCTTTTTGACCGAATATGTCTCTTAACATGAGTTTCATTTTCAATGTTAAGGGTGCGATTATCCCAATTGGATCATATGATTTATGTAGCTGACTTAACATTATCCTCTTTGTTAAATCCTTTGTTTCTTTTAAGTCAATTATAGCTGATAACATGTCCGTTTTGACATTATAATGTACTCCCAGCATTTTAACATTCTCCTGATTTAACTTATCTTCTTCAGGAAGCATGTTATTGAATTCCTCATTATTCGATATGAATTCTCTTACATTCATAGAGACTTTGGCGAATACCTTTTTCGTCTCTTTGTAATTCTCATAAGCTTGTTTAACTGAGTTGGCGCTTATTGATATGTTATCAACATACAATAATCTGAGAATCTCCTCCGCTAGGGGTGTATTCTCTTGTGATAAAAACTTGGTTAGGCACATATTTAGTATACTTGGTGATGTAGTTATGCCAAATGGTAATCTACAGAATCGGTATGCTTCAATCCTGTATTTTCCTTCTTCATCTTCTTCAATCCAGAAGAATCTACATAAGTCTTTATCTTTTTCTGTTAACAATATTTGTGTGAATGCAGCTTCTATATCACACATTATAATTATCTTATGAAATCTGTTTTCTAACAGTATATCATGTATTTTATTAACAAATATTGAGCCTGTAGCGATAACATCATTTAACGAATGCGCTCCTTTTGCTTTAGCGGAGGCATCAAACACTATTCTGAGAGGTTTTGGTTTTTCCTCTCTCCACACACCATGATGTGGAATATAATATTTCAAATTATTGTTATATTCATTCTTCGGAATCTTTTCTACAATTCCTTTATCAATGTAATCATTCATGATTTTTAAATACCAATATCTTTGTAACTCATTCTTCTCGAGCTGAGTCCTTAAACAATGCACTCTTTTTAAAGCAATGCTCTTATTCTCTTGTAAAAGACTTACATCTTCTTTTACAGGAAATGGTGCCGTAATCCGTTTATCAACGATTGATATCTCCTTAGCATATTTTTCATAATATTGCAAGGTTATTTCGGCTTTTTCCTCTTCATGGAAGTCAATTCCCATGTTATCCAAACTGAATAGTTTGTTTGCAACTTCTGTAGGAGATAAGTTCTTTTCTTCATTTTTATGTGCT